TCCAGCCAACAAGTCTGCTAACACACAGTCTTACTGTATTATTTGTCCAAGCATGTTAAGTGGGGGAGAGGACTTGAAATCCTGAAATCAAGGTTGAGAAAAATAAAGTTATCAAGCCAATTTTATTAAGTTAGTACAACTTGAATTTAGTTGTAAATTGACAACTACATTTGAGTTTAAATTACATGCAAAATGAAGTTGATCTAATTACCAACATTATTATTTGAACACAACTCATAAAAATAAAGTTTGCAACTTAGCATGTTTATCTAAATCAATAAATTAGATTTTTGCAGTTAATCAAGTGAAGGTAACAGATTCCCTGAATTACTTTTTAGAGTGTATGCACAAACCTGTTTCTTTCCCCCTGACCACCCACTTTTATCTGAACGCTCTTCTTCCTGCAGATGAATGCATTCTTTGAAATTTCCAGCAGCAGCAAACACTTCCCACATCTGTATTATTTATACATGTCGCCCTGTCGTCCACACAAATTTGTAAATAACCATGTATATTTTATAGGCTTTGTGCTGAAAGAATACATAATTTAGCATTTTCCCTCACGCAATAAAATAGGAGACTGGCTAAATTCAACTGCTTTTCTCTGTGTTGCACTAAATTGAAAGAAACACAGGTGGAGTAACCGTGAACAGTCCATTAAAGCTAACCCTAACCCCTAACCCTAAAACCAAGTCTTGACCCTAAAACTGCCCTTTTAATTTGAGAGGTCCAGCAATTTGGTCCTCACAAGTATAGTGGAATCCCCTCAAACACAACCACACTTCAACAAAATCAGGTTGTTTTTGAGCTGATCGGAGGTAAGCTGAATTTATGCTGGTGATCTCTCATCTCTCCTGTTTTGCTTTTTTGCTATTCATGGCACACATTTATGCAGTGCACTCGAGTGAGTTTTGCCAGCGCAGCAAAGGCTAGCAGTGAGATTCACTTAACGACTTGAGCACACTGCACAAGCTGGAAGTGTTGTGGAATCTCAGCTTTGCCAATTAAGGGTCGGAGGAAAGTTGCTCGTTCAGCAGACAGAAAACTGTGATGCAGTCATAAATAGCTGTGTCCTACCAGTCAACTCATTAACCAAGTGTCAACTTTTTACATAAAGGCCTACATGAATATCAAAGAGTACAAACACAGGCGTAAAAGTGAGTTCTCCCACATCTTCTATTATTTTGGAAAGAGAATAAATTATGAACAGTCAGTGCAAATTAAATGAGTGTGACTAAAGCAGTATCTGCTGAGTGAACCTGTAAGCCAGGTTCTCATTCTATTAATGCCACAGGGGTGCATGCTCTCTGCCATTAATGCTAACCATTAACATTGTCATGCCTTGTGGGGCTCTAATAGCTGTTTTCTAATACTTCCTTGCTCCCTGAATGAGCCACGATGACCTTTGAAGCTTTCCCACAAGCCATTCACGGCCTCTCTCCATCCCTTTAATGTTCCTCTCTCTCCCTGCCGTCACTCATTTGTTAGAGGCAGCAAGGAGATATCAGACATGGAGCTTCGTGGCAGCTAAGTCTTCTTTGGAGCCGTATCGCCCCGAAAATATTTTGTCATTTCGCTTTGTTTTTTAGCTTTGACACTGGCTCTTACCTCTGTATGATTTTCGCCTATTGTTTAACACAAGCTTTGTGCGTGTTTGCGCGTGTGTGAGTAGGTGTTGGGTAATGATCAGTTTGAAACGATGCCTGGCCCTTTGGCAGGTAGCTCCGGTGTAGGCTTGAGCAGATCACAGCCTGGCAGCGGGAAGCCTCCGATTTTTGAGGATCAACTTCATTACCCGTGGATGGTGTTTGGTGTGTGTCTGCATTGTTCTGACTTTCATGACAGATTCTGGATTGTTTTAGCGGGTTACTATAATCACAAGAACCCACTGTTTCTTTTCATCATTCCATCTGACTGAGTCGTCATAGAGCCTGTATCAGCATGCAGTGAGTGAAAGGCAGGGAAACACCTTAGACAGGTCCTTCACAGGGTTCACACGCATGCAAACACATTCACTCTCCTATTTACACATTGGAGCAGTTTGCACCTCACAAGCAGATCAAACTACATTTCCAGTGAATCCTCTTAACTAGCAGATACACGTTTCTTTGATCATTTGAATAATAAATGAAAACTACTGAAGTCAACAAGCGTTACTATTTCTGTGAATCTGGGTGCAAGCAGAAACGCACACAAGAGCTCACAGTGTATACACATGTGACTGGAGGTGCATATGCAACCTTGGCACAGCATGGACCAATCTGGACAACTTGCTGGAGCAGGATGAATATTGTGCTAGCAGGAGGAATACATTATCAGCAGGGTAGGTAGACTTCAGTAATATACACTCAAATCAGCTCCTCTCATGACCTTAAAAGCACATATGGGTATATGAAATATGGATATGCTAATATAAAATATGCTTTCAAGCACAGGGGATATCTCGTGTGTATTGATTTCACATTTCAGGAAACAGTCTGTGTTTTTATATGGATGATGCAAGTCAAGATGGACTCAAATGTCAGACTTTTTATTGTGAAGATGAAACTTTCATACTATCAACTGGTTGCTGCTGTTTACATTCACCCCATGCAAATTCAAAAAATGCAATGTAGAATGTTCAGGGTGTAAGTTATGCGTGTCTGTATATATGTATATAAATAACTGTATAGTTTTATTTTATATGTTACCATAATTTAAGACAGGCCTACACTTAATTATGTGTTTTGTTTCATTATGCAGCCTTGTGCTGTATAATGACAAATAAACAACCATGTACCTTGAAACATGTAACTTCATGTCACCATGTGTTTTTAAAGTTACAACCAAGTAATGGTATTTTTGCAACTAAACATTCATTAGTGCAATTAAGTGTGTCTGCCCTGTGGGTTGCATGTAATTTTTCTTAGAAAGGTTCCTCAGAATAGGCAGTTCTAGAAGATTTGTGACATAGCGAGAACTTGCCGGGCTAGTTGGTAAGCTACTGTGGCTTATTATATATTAATAATCAGTTCTGTTAGTACACATGTTTAAGTTTGTGTTATACATATGTATTTACATTGTATGTACCCTTTGTTCTGGTAATAACATTCCAATAAAAGAAATACTGTAGCTGGCACGCTAACCGCTAACATGCTAACCCACCGGGAACATAGCAGCAGCCCTCAGTCTCACCAGTTAGTCACTAATGGGACAGTGAGTTCCAAAGTTTATTCAAGAGGTGCAGGCTATGGGCACCATCAACTCTTGTCTCAGCTGTCTGCAAATCTTGTTTCTTTTGTGGAACAGTTTCTACACTGGCAGAGGAAGTTAAATACAAGTGGACTGCACAACACAAACAAGTACAGCTTATCCATTTACTCCAAAGTGTGAGGCTGTGACAAGGTAGCACAAATCAACAGAACAGTACCTCTAGTTCTTTGAAACTCACAGCCTGGCAGTATATTTGGGTGTGGCAAATTCACACATGGCTAAACATACTTATTTGACATGCAGAATACAATTTTCATAACCAAATCAGGATTTTACATTTTCCTCAGCCTCATTGCATACTCTGACAGTGTTGTCCTAAAAGAAGTTTTCAGTGGAGACACTACTTGAATTCTCAAGTGAATAGATATTGCTTATTGGAACAAAACTAATCTGAACCTTGAAACCATAACCCTGCTTTAACCATAGTCATATTTTTAAGTAATATTTCTAATCCACTGTATGGGAAAGGGTTACTGAAATAAATAGTCAGACATCATTCAACTAAAGCTGCATCTTCAGAAATGGAGACATTGCTGTCCTGAATAAAGCTTTGTTAACGCTTGTTGCAATGTTCCCGGCTCAGGGGTTGAGACTAGGTGCCCAGTGGGTGCATGTGGCATTTCATTTTAAGATGGAGTTTGACGTTTTTTCTCACAAGTTCAAACAGGCACATGACATTAGTTCACTACAGTACAACTGAAAATACTGCCACAAATACTGATAAAAGCAAATAACATAAATCAAGAAGTGTCATAATTAAGTCATTTCTACTAGTAATATCTCCCAAGATTTTTAAAAAGCTGGCCAGTTTATTTTCAAATGCCTCAAAAACAGGAGATCTTAAAATGTGATTTTTGAGTAAATGATATTTCGCCAGCAATATCAAATTGTTTACAGAATATTAAACCTTCGCTTCATTAGAAAACATTCGTTGTTCCAAAACTTGACTTCTTTCTTTACAGGGTTTGTATAATGGCAATAAAGTTTGTCCAGAAATAGATCTGAAGATATGATTTTAAAATTCATTACAATTCATCCTCTCCATTAAGGGGCTGTATCACAGAGTGGGCAGCCATGTTCGGTCTGTAGTGTTCTCCTGGTGACACTAGTTCACATCTTGCTTCTTCACACGTCTTGTTACTGCTACGTAAAATGCGTTAAACATAAACGCCTCTGTGTACGCCACGGTGTCTCACGCTAGAATAAATAAGGAGTGAATAAACTGGAGTGATTTGAAAACTGTGTTGTAACTGATTCAGTGGGCTGAATCAGCTTCAGTGAAGCTTTGGTGTGCCTTTTGTGTACGTATCTTATGCAGAGGCAGGGTTTCTCTGTTGAGATTTTCACTGTATCTGTCCCTGCCCGATAATCACTTGATAATCACTTACAGTACTGAAACACCTCTTGCCTGCAGTTGTGCTGACGGAGAAAATGCATTGTGTGTGCGCAGTCAGGCTCCATATGGCTCTGCTTTATGACACTGATCCAAGCAGAAAATGATGATTCTCATAAAAGTTAAAGCCCTGACAGCTGAGGCAACAAAAGGGAGCTTTTACACTTAACAACTTAGGACAAATTACTTGTTTGAATAATGAAAAAAGTCAATGCCATTAGTATGGCCTGTGCTTTTAATAGTTCCGTCTGCTACCTTCCCTCTTCATCAGTTAAGGGCTTTGACTAAAAGATAATTCTTTTCATTATTTCCTAGACACAGTGCGTGGGTAACAGTGCTATGTCTTTATCTCCAGGGAGAAGGAGTTTGGTCATGACGTCGACTTTATTGTGACCACACCTGAGCTGGGGAAGGAGGAGAGTCTGCTACCCATCATTATTAATAGACTGAAAAAGCAAGTAAGTACGTTGTTGTTTGCACTAAAGTGAAGTAACCATCATTTCAGAATAAAATGTAGTGCTTTCCATACAACTTTGATAATTAGTATGCAGTATTGGTTTAAATCCTTAATTTTAATGTATTTAGGAAAATCAAACTCCTGCTAAAAATTTTTATAGGTTATATGGCAAATACAAAGGCACAGGCTATGATATCTGATTGCAATATATTTCACAAGGAGCTGGTTTTATCAGCTCTTCATAAGTTCAAACTTAGCTGTACGTGTTTAGTTTTTGGAGATTTGCAAATCACTAGATTAAAATGTGTTGCGCCTCAAAGACTTCTTATGCAGAGATGAGTTGTCACTAAATATTCGTATCCACATATGGCCAGATCAGACTGTTGCGTAGCTAACATCAGCTCGGTCATATCTGCAATACGTGACCCATTTAGATTGAAGAGTAAAATAGCTAATATGTATGTCTATGGTCAGCATGTTTAACAAGGATGTAAACAAAATAGGACAATATACCTCAAATTACAATATGCCTTGTCAATAACATTATGCTAAATTACAACAAAACAAGCCTTACCTCATGTTCTTTGGCTGGTATGTAACAACAGTGTGATGCTATATTAAAGTCCTGTTTACATAGTTGATTGCTTTTGTACACCAACTGGCACAACCTGTTCACAAATTACTAAAGTCTTTACAAGCTAAAAACAATCTTGAGTTTATTGGTGAAACCAGATTTAATAAATCTCTAGTTTGAAACTAGCTAGTGATCAAATCTTAAGCAGTAAACAGACTTATAGATAGCTGGTGCAACCCATCCCAGGTGTTTATGTTATTGTGACCCCTGCACATTACTGTGTCTTTTTCATACAGTGGTTTTCAGTTTGTACTGTTTACTTTGCATCTACACAAAGGACACACTACCAATACACACAGAAACATGTGATCTGTGTCTTTGTCTTTACCTTGACCCAAAACCAGTTTTTAAAGTTGTTGCTGAAACCATTAATTGCATGTGTGCTCTACTATCAGATTTTTTCATTCTGAATGAATGGCAAAAGGTGGGAAAAGTGGCTGTGAATAAATCTGTCATAATTTCCCGGTGATCATCGTATATTATATGTGATTTGGAATTGATAGCACCACGTAGATATATAATAAAAACCTCATAAATCCAAAAGTCAATCTTCCATTCATTGTCAGGATAGGACATTGTAAGATTTTCTCGTTTTTGCCTTAAGGACACATCTCTGACTGCAGTGCAAGCAGTATGTTTCCATAATAAGGCATAAAATCGTTCACTTTTCCATCATTCAGAACTGTGTCCTTGAAAACTTATGACAGCCTTATTTTTGCAGAAAGAAAGGTGCGTGGTTCTGCCGATTTAGTTGGCTTTAATGGAAAGACATTGGGAAAAGGTGAGTGAATCAGGTGAAAGAGAAATAGTACAATTTAGTAGGTTACTTTAAAAACTTTTAGCTGGGCTTTCAGGGACCATCGGCACCCCTGGAGTCCCTTTAATGGAAAATAGATCCTTTAATGGAAAATGGGCAAAAAGGAGAGGCGTGTGAGAGGAGAGAAAAGGAAAGGATGCATGTGCAAGAGACAGACAGATAGGGGCTGAATAAAACAGAGCGAAAGTGAGTTGAAAGTGAGAATAGTGAGAAAAGGTGTGAGTGAGAGATAAAACACAGACAGATGATGGTAATGGCAGGCTATGTTTACATACAGATAATGGTTTAATTATAGGCTGGACTGAAATGATGACAGTTATTTGCTGCTAATATCACAGCAATGTGATATTAAAAAGTCTGTTAAAAGCTGCTCAGCTCTGTACTCACTGACCTGGAATTCAGTTATATTTTATGGTCTTCATTTTATCTGACAAGCATACATTTGTGATGTGCTATTTTGTGTAGCTTTCTATTGCATCTGTTCCTATTTATATTACTTTGTATTATGTTATTGTGCTGTTTCTTTGTTTTGACCTGCCAAGGGTCTACAAATGTGAATTAGTTTCAAGCTGTAATCTGGTATATTGCATCAAATGGTGACATTTATGTTTTAAACTGTACACAGCCCCTTTTAAATAAAATAATAAATAAATAAAACAATGCGTTCTAGAAGAGTCCAATTAAAATTCAGCGCATGTTAACACATTTATCTAATTAGGCTACATTAAACTGAGGTCTTAATAACAGGAATTGTGCAAACAGAAGTCCAGCTTGTTCATATTTGCTTTCAGCTTGTCCAGATATCTGGCTGTACAAGATTATATGAGAATGTAAAGTTCAACAACAGCACTTTTTGCTTTCAACAAAAGGAGGAAAAATGTAAAAAAGATTTGTTGTGTGCAAGCATAGATTCAGCCCCAGAGAGGAGAAAACTGCCAAGTCACTTTAATGTCTGCCAGTTCATTTATACAAACATTGATTGGATGTGCAGTTAGATAAATGGCAAACATCAGAAGTAAAGAAGTAACATTTGTATGGTTGTTTTTCATCCATGCTTAAGGACTTTTCCATTTGAGATTCTTAAAGATCAGCAGACTTTAAAGCAGTAGTTCCTTAATGCTATCTCTCGTGCCCCCCTTTTGAAGCTGAAAAGATATCACCCTACCATCCAACGCACATGTTTATCACGTTGTTATTAACCCGTAACATTTTTGAGGAAACTAGTTACATAAAGGAGCCAAGAAGAATTTTAATAAAATATCAATAACAAGAACATGAAGTTTGTTATTCCACATGTTTCTCATTAGTTTCCGATAAACGTTAACTTTGCTTTGAGTTTTTACATCCAAAAGACAAAAGGCTATTCTGCAATATTGACAGTGAACTGAACATAGGCGTCTTTATATTTTGGATTTGACTGCCGTGTTTGCAACATGTGCTCCACCAGTTTTTATTTTCTCCTGTCAAAAATAGGCCCATTTTTTTTTTATATAGCAAATAACCAATGATAGAGTAGTCTGGCAAAAATCTTTTACCTGGCTCACCTGACTTTTGCCAGACTGTAACTTGATGTCATCCGGCAAGCCGCTGTGGTGGCCAATCAAATATATGGACATGTCCAGGTAGAATGCTTTGTAATGCGAATGCCGTATCTTGTTGCAACAAAAAACGTAGAAAAAGCTTGGCTTGAACTCTCCTGTTTGAAAACAAAGTCTGTGTTTTTCAATTAAAACGCTATCTGAAGCAGAATATTAAAATTAAGCGTGAGCTTATTGAACAAGTACCAGAAGTGAGGTATCTGGGGATAATTTTAGACTTCCAGTTAATTTTTAAAAGCCACTCTAAAAAGATTTGCAAAACGATCAAGGCTAACCTTACCTGTTTTAAGATGATAAGAAAATGCTTGACATTTGATGTTTCTAAATTCAATGATACTTTCTTGTCTGTCTTATGGTTTAACTACCTGGTCCCAGGCCAATCAGTCAGTGATTAAATCTATGGAGTGTTTTTACAATCAAGCTTTGAAAACCCTGGACAAAAAGCAAGTTAGGTACCATCACTGTCGCATTTTAAGCAAATACAAAGATTTTAAGTTTTGCAAACTTTATTAATTTTCATTATGTAAAGCTTGTATTTAAATGTTTAAATGGACTTGCTCCTCAGCCTCTCTGTGAGTACATTAAGAAACTACAGAGTGGCAGCAGATCCACCAGAGCAGCTTCAAGTGGCGATTGTAAAGTTTCATTTTGCAAAACTTCTTTTGCTCTGACGGCCTTTTCTGTGAAAGAAGCAAAGTTTTGGAACTTGCTACCTGAACGCTTGAAACCTGCTGCAAACTTAACCACTTTCAAAAGAGAGGCCAAGTCCTGGTTGGTTCAGCAACAAACTTGTACTCACGTCTAGTCTATTGTTGTTAATGTTACATGTTTTTCATTGCTTTTTGATTTACTAATTTTACTTCCTTTTATCTTGTGTTATTTTCTTTAAAAGCCCTGGTGTTGCAAATTAGCAACTGCTAAAAACACTATGGTACACACACTGGATTGCTGTTTTCAGTTTATCAATGTTAGATATATCGGTCCCTAATAAAATAAACCATAAATAATAAAAGATAATGTTTGTCACCATGGTAACTTTCCAGAGTTGTAAAATCACGCCGTCCTCCTATCGCTAATCAGCAGTAAGCCTTCAGTTTAATTTCTCTGTTAATGAAACTGGACTTTCTGGATCATATTTCATTGTCTCACTGGTACCCGAAGCAACATGCCCCCACCTACAGCTATACAGCTCCTTGCAATAAACCCCCCACCCCCTCATTTCTTACAATGTAGTCGTGTTGCGAAGAGACAACTTCGCATGGTCTAAACTTAACAAGGAAACAATAAATGAATAAATGAGACAAAATGAGTCCACTACTTATTTATTACTTATTATTTACATTTTGTTGTAACACACAACATCAAATTAAATCCCCTCCCCATCCAAACAAAGAAGACTTGAATCTCACTCAGTCAAGATGGCAGTGAAGATAACAAAAATGTTTTTGTGGCCTGCCACTGAATAGATGAAAGTCTAAGCTTTTTATAACAGGCTCACTCAATAAAATATGTTTTTTTAAAAGGTGTGAATCACCGCAACCAGGAGAGGTCCTTGAGCATACAGACATAAATATGGACAAAAAATATTAGGCTGATGGGTCTAGTAGGATCCGAGATCAGCTGTGGACAGACACACGCATAACTCTCATGAGGCAATGCAAATACATTATGGATAATGTCACTGACATAAAATGTACAGTACATTACATTCTGTAAAAAATAAAACCATGTGGAAGGACATTTCTTTGTCAACACAGATTTCTCCCCTTAGATAAATGCGTAGTTGCAGAGGGTCATGAGAGGAGACAAGTGTTTGATGAAGAGCAGGACCGCGCTGTCTAGTCTAGCTGTCGGCTTCTTTTTGTCATCAGCTGGTTTAAAAATAAATCCCTCTGTCCTTCTTCCTTCCACACCTCCACATGCCTCCACTCCTTCAGTGGTCCATCCTGATG